CAAGCCCTAGTCTCGACAGTCATACATTTCAGTGCAGTTAAGAGCGTTTTGTTCACTCGCTCTGCCTGACCATTTGCTCTCGGGGTTCGTACCGCTGTCTTCGWATGTTGAATACCATTCTTGTGGGTGAATGCTTCAAACTGCTTTAATGTGAATGCGGTTCCTCGGCCAGAGGTGATACGTAGCGGTTGACCAAAGATCGCCATCATATCTGCTAGCGCCTATATTTCGTACAGCTTTCAGTAAGTAATATTTGCTGAACCCACATACCATGACGAGGAAATACGCCTGACCGGTAGTGGTTTTTGGAAATGGTCCTACGTGATCAAGGTAAATATGCCGGAATGGTATCGGTAGCACCTCCGCAACATGAAGTTGRCTTTGCTTTTTGCCCCCTGCGACCTTGTTAAGACAGCACTCCTCACAGGCAGCGATGTAGGATTTAACATACCGACGCATTCGAGGAAACCAAAAATGCTTCATCAATCTGTCCAGTGTCTTCTCTAACGCAAAATGACCGACATCATCGTGGCATGCCTTAGTAACGAGCCACCTAACTGCGTGCGGCACCACCAGCCTGACTTCCTTATTGACCTTGCGGAATAACCGACCGTTGCGGAGTTCGTAATCGGTGTTTAGTTGCTTGACTGTAGCTTCGTCGGTTTCTCCAGTTCTGCCTTGAAGTACCTCACAAATTCTCTTCAGCGACTCATCCTGAATCTGCATCGCATATACCCAATCGTCTGGCGCCCTGACGTGACCAACTGCTAACACATAATCTGCAACAGTTTCCGTCTGGGTGGGTGGCTCACCTGGAGCTCTGCTCAATGCATCAACGTGTTGCATCTGAACACCGGCACGATGTTTTCACGTAAAATCAAATTCTTGCGATCTCAGCCACCACCTAGCGATGCGTGGCCTCAACGGAGTAGCTTCTTTGGTTGTAACCACGGCGTTGCAATCGGTGCGAACTACAAAATGTGACTCGGATACCTGGATTCTGCTGAACTGCACTGCCGGCTGTAGTATTGAACAGGTTTCCAGCCACCCTCTTGCTGCAGCATAACACCCGAGATACCGGCTGCACTCGCATCTGTGTGCACCTCATGTTCCTTCGTCGGATCAAACATGACAAGAACTGGTTGCGTAGTTAGAGCTTGCTTCAGATTCGTAAATGCCTGTTGCTGTTCCTCAGCCCATACAAACGTTGCTTCCTTCTTGAGTAAGGCGGCTAATGGCTTGGCTATGATGCTATACCCTTTGACGAATTTCCGGAAGAATCCGGCTAGGCCCAGAAACT